CGGCTTTGATTCCGGTGTGGAACAGTGTCTGTGTTCCTGCAGCCACCCCGGTGCTGCTCGGGGTTATTTAACATCGCTGGTTTGTGCTGCTGCTCGGAGTTATTTAACACCGCTGGTTCGTGCTGCTGCTCGCTGTGCATCGCATGGCACAGGTTCAGCCGGACGCGTTGCGTGGAGCCTCGGAGCTTTAATGTTATTTCCAAATCAGCCAGCCGGTGTTCAGCGTGGCTGGATGTGTGATGTGTGTTCTGCCCGTAGTGTTAAAGGGTGGAAAAGCTTTTGTGCGCTGAGGTAAATAGAAGTTTGTGGGGGTTTTGGTGAGCAGCGGGCCAGCTTTGAAAGCGCTCGCACGCAGCTCTGGTGTCCTCGGAACGTACTGCTTTGTCTTGCTGATCTTCAAACGCTTTTCTGTAAGAGTAAGGTTTATTTTCTGCTCCTGGGACTTGTGTAAGCTCAGACAGAGGCTGTCGCCTGATGTGTCTGTACTTGCAGAGCCGATAGTAAATGCACCCTCCAGAATTTCCTCAATGAATCCGTGTCTCCGCCTCAGCCAAACCTCTGTGCCTGTGGATTGGCTTTTCCGAGGTTACAGCTGTCAAAGGAGGCTCGGCGCTTTCCTCGCTGCTTTTTCTCACCTGACTGTTGGTATTCAAAGGAATCCTCTGTCTTAGCATGGTGGGCTTTTATTTTTTAATTTACTGTGTATCAAAACGTCAGGAATTCCCCAAGAGTAACGCTGCTAGAAGCCGGGATTGTAGTTAAAAGGAACGACACTGGGGTACTAATGAAGCAATATTGGAGACTAATTTGGTTTGCTCAGCCTCAAAAGTCTGTCTTGCAGCTCTGTGTTCACATTTAATATTGAAAATAATTCTTTAAAATGGCTGTTATTTTGATAAATCCTGTTTAAAATAAAGTTGTTAATGGAAAATTGCTGTAAGAGTTCAAGCAAACAAGCTGCTTAAATGATTGAGAAGATTAGATTTATACTTCAATAAAACTACTTTAGTGTTGTCCTACAAAGTTGTTTTTCTGTGTGAGTGAGGTTTGTTTTTTCAGCCCTGACATGTGGCTGTGTTTGATATATTATGTAATAGTCTCAAAATGAAATGACTGAAGCAATATATAAACACAGTGCGAGATGCATCAGCCAGGCAAGATTATAAACTGCTATTCTTAGATTATTGAGATTATTGCCATGTGCTGATGGTTTCATTCATGGCTTGTCCTTCTCCAAGTGTACCACAGATAATTCTTAATTAATACTTTTAAAAAAAAAAATTATATGAAACAATTTTTTAAATCTAGGAACGGCTGTTGTGGGTGTCAGTAGTTAAATATCTGAGAAATACCTAAACAGCTTTAATTCCTAGCAGATACTGCCATGATCGATTTGATGTATTTGGAAAGGGACTTTTGGAGGGAGAGGAAATCTCTGCACTCATTTCTGGGCTCTTTTTCCCGAGTGGAAGTTGTTTGCAGCCTCAGGGTGGCTGCTGTTCTCCATCCTCTGTTCGTGCTTCTCTGGCGCCACAAAGCTTTTGTAGCACAGGGTCAGACAGCACCTTCCGGGATATATTCCCCTGGAAATCAACATTATTTACAGATTTGCAGGATTTAAAACGCTCGGGTGACATGTCTGCCCTGTTCTTTACAACCCAGCCTCGCTGGTGCAGCCGTGTGGTTTAATTAGCTGGTGATTGATCTTTCGTAGATACAAAAGTGCGGATTTTGGTCCATTTATTCTTGATGAATATTCTGGAACTGTTTCTGTATGAGTATCTCAGAGATTTATATCCACTCGCAGCGTTTCACAAATCAGCAGCTCATTTCTCTCACTTGGAGATTCCAGCTGTGAAGGAATTAAGTTTTTCTTGTGTAGCAATGTTTATGTTACAAATGTTTATAATTTACTGGAAATTAAACCTGAGGAAGAAGATTGTGCGGGTTTGTTTTTAAGCTCACGTGAGAGAGCGGTGCTGTTGAGCAGGAGCAGGGAGGTTCCTTTAGGGAGTTCAGAAACTGAGCAGGGACACTTGTGGCTTTGCTTTTTTCTCCTGATGAGTAAGACTCGCATTTCCTAATGCTAATGAATTGTTTTGACTGGAAAGAGAGAAAGTTGCGGGCTAGATAAGCCTTGGCTTTGTTATTTTAGCACATAGCTGTGTTTTTCTGTGAATACCTCTTACTGAGATTGCTGGGTTGCGCTGTGAGGTGGAATCTGCTCGGTAATGAGGCGCATTCACACGGGAGG